CTTGAAATGATCTAGTGATGGCATATGACATGTTTGTGGGCTTGTGAACCTAGTGTTTAATCTAGAAAACGAGCTATAAGTGTTTAACTCAACATGGTACAAGATAACCCTTATTTGGAGGTGTAAAAAGCTTGTCCTTGGATCAAATTGATTAAATATCTTTTATAAGTAATCTAGATTGAACCAAATTTAGGAAAATAATCCTCACTTCACATGGTTTCACACAACCTATCTAAACTTTAAGCTCACCTTTTGTGGTCATCGATGACAAAGGGTGAGAGAAATTACCAAAGTTATTGCAAAAGGGGGAGAAGTAACACAAAGATAAGATAGGAGAAATGAAGGGGGTCAATTAAAACTTAAAGCACACAAGTAGGGGGAGCAAGCTCATAAACTTGTATGTTGCATTTGTATGTGCATTACATATGTTTGCTTGTGTGGCACAAGTTTTAAATTCCATATCCATGCTTGTGTGGTGTATGCTATATTATAGAAAATGATTGATGTAATGAAAACTAGCATACATAGGATAGGTAGACACTTGAATTGGTTTTACAAGTGGTACTAGAACCTTGTTTCTAATGTTGATCTCATAACGTATCTAGTGTCTTTTGCTTTCAAGTGATATCTAGCAAACCATGGTGCTAAGGATGGTGTTCAAATGGCAACTACGATTTGTATCACACTTCAAAGGTCCATTCTTTACACCGTAGCATCATTTGGTGGCTATTACTCTCTCAAACTTACAATCCATGCATATGTGCAAGCTTTCAAATCCAAACTCTTAGCACGTATGTAGGGGGAGCTAATACTACCAAATTGGGTTGATGAAACTTGTCCATAACCTTTACACATGGTAATATGCTTGGGCAAGCAACATGAATCCAAAAAGATTTTATTGAATATCTTTGTAAATAGGTTGTCATCAATTACTAAAAAGAGGGAGATTAAAAAGCACTAGTTTGGTTTTGGATAATTGATGAAACCTATGCACTAACCTTTGTAATGAGTTGTGATATGAGCTAGGTTGGTGCAATCCAAGTAAGAAGCATGGTGTCACTCAATGGTGATGTTAATCACATGAAATGATGACGATGGCCACATGTGATGATGATCAAGTGCTCAACTTAGAAAGAAGAAAGAGAAAACAAAACCCTATGGAGATCAAGGCAAAGGTATAAATAGGGGTTTTGTTTTGGTGATCAAGACACTTAGAGAGTATGATCACGTTTAGGGTAGATGGCCGTACTATTAAGAAGGGTTCTTAACTAGACAATTCAGTCATCTAGTGCCACTAGGTGTTGGACTTCATGCATTGCATTTAGGCCTAGTGCACATCGGAGAGCAAGCGAAAATATTTATCGAAAATGTTTTGAGAAATGCTAACATGGCTCTAACATGTTTTGGGAAAACAACATGAGAGTTAGCATAGCTTGCGGAAAGTCACTCTAAGTTGACGTGGAATAAAACGCGAATTAGTTTGCAACTTGGGAAAGGGGCTAGTGCCTGGGTGGCACCGCCACCCCATGTCCGGTGCACCACCACCACTGTGGTGGTGCCCGACTGACTTGGTTCTGAGCGCGAGCATCGGGGTGGTCACCGGACACGACGGTGTGCACCACCATGTGTATGACGGTGCACCGTCGGTGGCTATCCGATGCCACCTTTGCTTTTTTAACAGAGGCTGGGCCTTGGCCAGTTTCTTGGCACCTCTTACACTTGTGCACACCCTTTGAAAACTGAGCAACACACTCCTCTCACTTGCTCACTTGATTTCATCATCTTGAGTGAGATTGGATAGCCTCTAATGCATTGCATTGAGTTGCATCATCTTGTGACACTAGTTGGGTGATTTGGGCTAGTTGTGAGCTTGTTACTCTTGGTGTTTGTCGACACCTAGATGGCCCGGTGATTGGAGGATCATTGAGCGGACTTGGTGATTGTGTCTGGCCTCGATCGGTTGCTTATGAGGGGTCTTATGCCTTCCCCGGTAGGGCACCAAAGGCAACTCTAGTAAATTGCTCGTGTCATTGAGCTACCTCACTTGTGGGTAGGTTCTTGTGGTGTCCAATTGTGTGGACAAGGTTTGTGCAACATCTCTTAGCCGCTAAACCACCAAGTGTTGGTCGACACAACGGGAACTAGCGTGCCGGCAAGCATGTGAACCTTAGGAGAAAAATCGCTTGTCTCTTGCCATTGACATTCTCCCGGTGATCATATTATGATTGGTTCATCCCTTTACACGGCGGTATAAACATCCCATTCATTCCTTTACTTACTTGCAAAGTAGTTGTAACAAGCTCTTTACTGTAACTAGTTTTGAGAGCTTGTTTGCTTGCGAGTTTAGTATCACCTAGTGGACCTCTTAAGTGTAGACTTGTTGAGAGCACTTAGTGAGTTGTGACATAGCCTTTGTTTGTTCCTAGTGATCATAGCAACTAGAATTGTTGGATAGGTGGCTTGCAACCCTTGTAGAACTAGAGCAAAATTGCTTTTTTGCTATTTAGTGTACTAACCTCTTGCTCTAGTATCGTTATAGAAATTTTTATAGGCTATTCACCCCCCCCTCTAGCCATTTAGGACCTTTCACCCCCGCGCGTGTCGTGTTTCGCGCTTGCACCATGGCCCGCACGCGCTTTGTGCCCCGTGCCCGCACTGTGGCACCCCTTTCACACCAACGCGCATGCAGGTGGGCCCAGCAGCTGCACTAGGTGGCTACTGCAGATAGGTCCCACTACAACACGTGCAACACCAAGATGTACGTTTGCAACATATAAATGAAACACTTACAACATACGTTCGAAACAATTAAAACACTTGCAACATACATCTAAAACACCAGGAAAACATGTTTGTAGACTTTGCAAAATATATGCAACATTCAGATAAAACATTTGTAATATAGGTATGAAATACCTGAAACACTTGAAACATATGCTTGCAGCATGCATGTATATGCAACATCTAGATCTTTTGCAACATCCAGATAAAACACTTGCAACATACGTTTGAAACAGACGAAACATTTGCGACATACACTTGAAAATACCATTGCAACATGTGCAACATCCGTATGAAACACTAGCAACATACATCTGAAACATCTGAAACATTTGAAATATACACTTGCAATATGCATAGTATCCCAGTGCGGTCTCCTCCGCCGTCTGCATCGGGGCACCACAGCCGTAACAAGAGACGAGGCTGGAGGGCTTCTGCACCAGGGCCTGATGCTTCTCCTTACGCTGGCGACTCCTATCGGTGTCGTCAGGCAGGACGGGCAGCTGAGCAGGAGCTGCGGGGCGGGCGGCGGAGCACGAACAGGAGCAGCAGGACAAGCGCGCGGAGCAAAAGCCGGAGAGGCGGGGCGGGCGGCAGGAGCAACGGAAGGGACGGACGTGGGAGGTCTATTGGGCCGGACCATAGACTCAGGAAGAGGCGTCCGAACGGGACAGACACCCTACACACAACATTTCTGAAGTAGTAAAAGAAAATCAAGACGTAACAAAGCAGTGACTGTCAGTGAGTCTTATAGTAAAACAAATTAAACTTGTTCTTACTCAATTGATTGGGTACTGTCTCAGCCCAATGGGCTTAGTTTGGCCGAGTGGGCAAGCTTGAGCGAAATTTACTCCTGCCATTTTCAGGACTGTGTTGAAAAGTGCTTTTGTTGTCAAAAAGTAGAAAGCTAACCAAATAAGTGAAATCTAAAACTGTTTTTCTAGAATTAGATGCTTTTGTGTAGTTCAATTTTACCTTGACCCTGATTTTGGCTTTTGTTTTTCTACTTTTCGAAATAGGTCAAAATAAAGAGGTGCTTCGTAGCTGTTTCGAGGGAGATAGAGGGAGGAATAGGTTTTATGCTTAGTTTTAACCAAACAACTTATAGTTTTTCTGCAGCATATAGCTCACAACAGTTTTTTCACGGCTCACAGCTAAACCAAGCAGACTCTAAGGCTCGCTGTTTCGAACCTGAAGATAATCCCATTCCTGCGCTTCCAGAGCTGCCAACAGCAAAAGGCTACGAAGGTAATGAGGTGTTTCTGAGGAAGGAAGTTGGACACTGAATGTCGCCCACCGTGCTAGAGCTGACAAATGGTAAAGGGAAACCAAATTTTTCCCAAGATCCTTTTGCAAACGGGCAAACCAATATCACGTGCTCTGTTGTTTCCTCGTCTTGCTGACAGATTTCGCAAACAGCAGTGTCGACCACATTTTTTCTCAACAAATTGGACCGGCTCTGAGTCCTGCCCTGTATGAGCAACCATGTAAAGAATTGGACTCTTTTTGGAGCAAAGCTGTCCCAGACAAAGCTTGCGTTGAAACCCCCCAGAGTCAAAAGGCTCCACGCCTGCTGTCACCGCATCGTTAAACTATGTGGCGATCATCAGTTGTCTTGCTTCCTCCAGTTCGGCTATTGCTTGTTGTGATAGTCTGATAACCAAGAAGTCGGGGCCATCCACCCCAAACTACCGCACTTGTGCCACTGAGATGGTTTTCTTGACATAGTGGATGTAGAGCGCAGGTAATCGATCCACCAGTGCCTCCTCATCAGTCCAGGCATCATGCTAGAACGAGGTTCGGTCGCCATTGCCGACGGTGACCGTGGCGATTGCCTGATAGAGCGGCAGCAGCATTCTGAGAACCTCCTAGTGATGTCCACGACCACGAAGATCACCATCCAGAGATGCAAGGCAGGCATGCTGCCTAGCCTAAGAAGCCCAAGCTGAGTCTTCTGCCACGTATAGCCGGTGTATCAGCTTCAGAAGGAGGCAAACATTCATCAGGCTGAGGTCTTTGATACCAGTCCGCCATTGTCCCTAGACCAGCATACCTATATTCCCAGGCAACCAGGCTCTGAGATCCAGTTGGCGCATCGTTGCCGCACCATAGGAAAGATCGACAATGTAATAAAGCTGAGTAAGTACAAAATAGTAAGTAAAAACGCTATCTCTCACTTCAGCCCATTTGAGCAAAGCTCTTGCCGCTGTAAGCATGGTTTATCCAAGGAGGCACTTCAGTCCAAGGAAGCATGGTTTATCCAAAAGATGAGCCAAGGTCAAATGCTTCTGATCTTTCTGTAGGGAGTAAGAAGCAATCCTGTAAGAAAAACATCATACAACATGTGCAGAGATGTAAGCACAATCCAAGCAAAAGATATAGCTCAGTACTGCTAAATTTCAGTGACATTGAGAATTTGAGATTAACATTGTTAGTACACAGCTGATACATGACATCATTGAATCCACTGGTGGCCTCTTTATTGCCTCCAAGTGTCTCCAAATAGAAATAGTGCAATAACGTATCAGGTTCTTCCCACAGTAGCTGAAAAAGTTGGTCAGCCACACCAGAGACCACGTTTTCAAGACCTTTCTTATGCCTGGTCAACGTATACTTATCAAGAAGTCCCTGCATAACCTGTCAGAACACCCAAGCATCAGAAATTTCAGCGACAAGTGTTTTTTTGGGGGGGGCAGGGGCCAGGGGGGCATCCAGGGGCAAGTCATGTCTGTAGTCTTTTCGATTGCAATTATATTTAAACAGCACATATTTCGAGACTACTTGTGAAATTGTTTGAACGTTTGAAATGCTTGGCATTGCAGGAATTGCTTCTGAATCATACAAAATGACCCACATCATAGGCAGCAGACTTGGAACACACAGATTTTTTTTGTTTAAGCTGCAGCCCGATGTGTACATCTAATTAATAAATGCATCCTCTACTAGAGAAAACCATTTTGAATGAGCTGATGCTCTGACTATAGAATCCACCATTCTTCTGAAGCTGCTTCCTACAAAACTCGAGATGCAGCAATTGAAATCGTTGTGATCTTTGTAGAAAGGATGTGTTTTTGATAGCCTTCAGTCTTTCGGATGGAAATACACCAGCCTTCACCTTGGCAGAAACTATACCACTGCTGCCTAGTGCATTTTTTATCTGAAAAAAACTGGAACGTGACCGACCAATTGCACGTCCATTACTTTCACCAAAACTTTGCAGCTTGTTATTGTCTTCTGATATTTGCACGTTGCAACTGTCATCTGAATGACCCAATTTGTCAATTGCATAAGGACCGTTTGGGGAACCATTTGAGTTGTTGGTGTTCTCAATCAAACCAACAGCTTTCCATGCATCAGCAATGAGACAGTAGGTGCTTTGCTTCGGCTTGACACCAGTCTCCCGCATCATCTGAAGGACTTCCTCATCTTTCCATGGCTGATTTTGTTCACTGTAGCCCCAGATCAGAGTCTCAAATGTCCTGAGATCGGGATAGACGCCTGACTTGCACATCTTCTCATAGACTCTCATGGCACTCTCCATGTCGGCCACGCTGCACCACCCGCTAAAGACAATGGTGATGGTGACGACATTTGGGTAGACACCAAGATGGCTCATTGCAACAAATGATCTTCTGCTTTCTTAGGCTGCTTAGCACGGACAAATCCTTTGGCAAGAATGTTGTATACCTGAGGATCTGGCTCGATTCCTGCCTCGATCATTTTGTCAAACACCTTCATGCATTTAGCCATGTGGCCTAACGAGCTGAATGTGTTCAACTGGTGACTGTAGGTGACAATGTCAGGCTTGATGCCAAACTGCTCCATCAGACCCAGGATCTGCATCACATGAACACAAAATTAAACAATCCATTCTCCTAGCATGTACATGAACAAAAGTGGAACGTTTCTCCTGAACTCACATTAATGACTGCAGCCATGTCATTTGCATCAAGGAAGCCCTTCAGCAGTGTGTTGAAGATGACGACGTTGGGAACAATTCCTGCATCCTTCATTTGCTGGACGCATCGCAATGCTTCCTCCAACCTGCCCTCCCGGCAATAACCACCAATAATTATGCCCCATGTTCGCTCGCTGGTGCGTACTCTAGTCTGAATCTCCACAATGAGCTCTTCTGCTCTCCATGTCTCTTCATTATTGGCATATGCACTGGCTATGGTATTGTAAGTGACGATATCAGGCTCAACACCACCTGCTCGCATCTTGCCCACAACGCCCCAGGCCTCCTCAAGATTTCTCTGATCACACCATGCCTTCACAAGAATGTTGTATGTTGTGAGGTTAGGCCTAACTGATCCTTCAATGCCCATCATGTCGAAGACGCGCTGTGATTCTTCGGGTTTGCCTACAATGCCATATCCTTTTATCAGTGTGTTGAAGGTGCTTGTAGTTGGGTGGCAGCCAGAATGCTTCATTTCCAGAATGTGCTTATTGCTTCGCCCATCCGCTTTGCCTCAACAAACGCATTTATCAAGGCATTGAAGAAGATAGAGTCTGGCCTAATTCCAGCTAGTTCAACTTGAGCAAATAGTGATGGAATTGACTCAAACATCCTCTGGTTTGTCAGGGTGGTCAGTAGAATTGTGTCTGTGACCAATGAAGGCTTGTGTCCCTCATCCATTAAGTGCTTGAATACAGAGTGTGCTTGGTAGGGCTTCTTTGAGTCCATTAGAGCTCGCATTTGCCTTGTTCGATTAATGACCGATTGACAAGTATGCCCTTTTGCACATGTTGTGCACAGCTGCTGCTTCTGGCCTTTTGATGGTTGTAAAGTGCCATTATGTTCATGCTTCTCCTGAAACATAAGGAAATTGTTTTAGAAATCTGTGTTCCGGAAGTGCCATTATGTTCATGCTTCTCCTGAAACATAAGGAAATTGTTTTAGAAATCTGTGTTCCGGAACTCAGTTGCGCAGGAAGGGAAGAGAAGGGTGCGCGCATACAGTTGGTGCTCGTCGCCGGCGAAGAGCCCGCAACGAAGGCCCGGCGAAGTGACCGACGGAGGCCTGGGCACCCGGCGTAGTGCGGCGGCGCTCGCCCAGTCGTCACCACGAGAGAGAGGGAGAGAGCGCACGCGGGGTGAACGCGAAAAGATAAGGCAGGGATGACGCAGACTAGCAGGGGCCAGACCGCCACAGGGCCTATCTTTTGATATTTTGCCAAAAAAAAGTGTTACTCCCTCTTTACTAAAAAAAATAAAGTTATTTTTGACAAGACTTGAGTTAAACATTAAAAATATAAATCATGAATAATTTTTAAATTGTTGAGTTTAAAAATGTGAAAACCATATGAATAGATTTATCTTGAAAAATACTTTCATAAAAATATACATATATCACTTTTCGATAAATATTTTTACAAAAACAAGAAGTTAAAATTATACTTTGGAGACCGTGTCACTGTCCAAAACGACTTTATTTTTTAATATGAAGAGAGTATTTTCTTTTAAAAATTATGAATCTATGCTTCCCACTTTGCAAGCAGGCGGAATCCCCTGGTATCGCTTCGTACTACTGTCTCTAACAAGTAAGGGCCGCTTTGGAACACAGGTTTCAAAAACAAAGGAATAGGAAAAATATAGAACTATGATAGGAATGCATGTGTAAAAGATAGGATTGAAAAACAGAGGAATCTAGTGAGTATGGTTGTTTGGATGACCAACAGGAAAATATAGGGTTTTTAATAGTGAAGTCAGTCAGCCTGTTCGCTTGTTGGTTTTAGCTAGGGCTTATCAGTCAGCCAATAGCGTTTTTCTCTCACAACAAACCAGCATCAACCGGACTTATCAGCTCAGAAACCAACCAGCGAACAGGCTTAGTGATAGATCATTTCTGTTTTTAATCAATCATGTGCAAGGATCAAGCAACCTGGGCCCACCTATCAATCTATCATTTGGGAGCCTGACCCATCCTATGTAGGATCACCTACAAGGATGACAGAGTTGTTTGCCTCGATCCTATACGTAGGAAGAAAAAAATGAGGTTGAACTAGATGTAAAGTTTCCTGTGTTTCACCTATGGAATCAGCCATGTAGGAAACTTTCCTCTATCTTTCCTATGGAACTTTCCTACGAACCAAACCCTGCTACAGTACTTCAATCCTAAGGAATCTGAATCCAATAGGTCCCGTTCGTTTGTCTTAAAATCCGGCTTGTTCGGCTTCTTTTTTCAGTCGGAACAGTGTTTTCTTTCCCAACAATTCAGCCGGAACAGTGTTTTGGCTTATTTTTTCAGCCAAACGAACGGGGCTATGTTTTTCCTGTGTTCCACCTCCGTTCCAAAGGGGCCCTAATTTTTTTTTCCGATACTCTTCATTCCAAAATAAGCGCAATCTATTTTATCAAGAAGTTAATTTCATATATATGAAAAAGTCAAATTTACCCCCTCTAAGTTTGCCCTATGTCTAAATAACCCGTTAAACTAACATTTAGTTCAATTTACTCCCTCCAACTATTTAAGTTGGTCCAATTTACACCTTAAAAAGAATTTTCTTTTTTGTTTCTCTATGTACAAATTGTGTTTTTAGTTTCAAATTTCGTGAGGTGATAGAGGGCATAGTTTGTGTTAGAAAAATATATCATGATTTTTCCATCATTATATTTTGTATGATACTGTATCTCTTGTATTAATTGTTATTAAATTTCCTTAGCTATCAAAATAGTGGTAGAAAATAATATAGATTTTTTTTCTAATATAACTCATAATATCCTCTATCACATCACAAAATTTGATATTAAAAATCAACATATACATGAAGAAACAAAAATAACAAAATTTTGTTAAGGGGTAAACTGGACTAACTCAAATAGTTAGGGTAGTAAATCGAATCAAATATTAGTTTAGGAGGTTATCCGGACCAATGTCAAAGTTAAGGGGAATAATTTTTACTTTTTCCTATATATATTCATAATGTGTAATAAATGTTATTATATTGATTATAAAATATACTTTAATAATAAATTAATTTAAAAATATAAATATTAGTTCTCTTTTTATATAACTAGCAGGGATGCACGTGCAACACGCATGTATTTATAAAAAAATATTTTATAGTGAAGGTGTAACAAAGAAGTTTTAAGAAATCAATTCTTATATTTGAGCTCGTAGTTCTTGATTGAACCTAGCATGTTACTAATTGTTTTTAGAAGTCTGTGTGAAAAAACAAAGTTATGTCTATAATGTAAATAAGGTCCAATTAGTTGGAAAACCAGGGAATATATATCAATTTCAATTGATTTAGCTGTAAACAATTATATTTGGTGAAAAGTTTATCTTTTTTGAATTGCAGTAGCCAAAATAGTCCCGGCTTAAAAAGACTTGACAGCTTGCAATGCGCACGTATACAAACAAAAAAAATCCTTATTAATAGATGACTATGGCAATAGTTTTTAGGCAATATCCTTATTAAATCAAGCCATTTAGTGAAGGGGACGAAAAATGTGCTTGAATTCTTCGTGCATGATCTAATATAAATATATACACATAACAATAGCCACATATATCAAGCACACGAGGATGTGTCCGTTCTACAATAGTATTCTTATCTACCCGATTACAGTTGCAGCATTTTTTTTTTCTTTTTGTTCTAACTTCTCTACTGCACATCTCAGGCTCAAGTGAGGTCGTAAACTTTACCTTACGATGGATCCCTTCCCATAGGATTTGGCACCTCCCTGGCCGGCCAGCGCACATCTCGCTCACGGCAATGCCTGCAAATACAGATTAAGCTGAAGGCGGCGACTTGGGAGGCGGCACAGGAGCGAGAGAACATGAAAAAGATGGGGTTCGTGTGTAGGGCATACTCGTAGTCTGCTATTGACAGTCCAGGAAATCGTCGTCGACGATAATTAGGATCAACTGGGCGGTGGTGTTCGCTTCGGTCAAGATTAGGAATATTATAGTTGGTTGAGAAATATTATAGTTGGTTATTATTACGTGAGACTTATTATAGTTGGTTAAGGAATATTATAGTTAGTTATTACTACGTGAGATTGGACATGAAAAGAAAGATGGTGCAGGTCAATGAGATCATGTACCTAAAATAAATGTGACTTATGGCGGGTGGGATTATAGACGTACCGTGAGACGTATTTGAGATTGAATAAGAGTCTTACATCTTACATGTAAGATCACGGATGACGGATGGCTCATATAGCTCGATGTGTAGGTCGAATGATTGTTATTGAGGAAGAATAAGATCACGCATGACGAAGGGTTCATATAGCACGGCGTATAGATCGAACTGTTATTATATAGAGAGGGAGCCCCCTAAAAAAACTCGCTCTTTTATAGTGCGACGATGACGACGACGACGGCGATGACGACGCCGATGATGATGTGATGATGAGGAGGATATGATTATTAAACTTAAAATAGTTTGACTTCTTATGAAATGTAAAGTGAGTTTATTTTACAACGAACGGATTATAGAATACTCCCGAATTTTTTATTTTTTAGCTCTTTTATTGAAAATTTTTCACAAATATGCCCCTGGAGGAAAGATTTCAGAATCTGAACCCTTAGCTCGGCGCCATCGTTGCTGGCGCCGAGCTTACACGTCTCGGCGCCAGCGTCCCTGGCGCCGAGATCTTGGGCTCGAAGCAGACGTGGCGGTGACATGACAGGCATCTTGGCGCTAGTAACACTGGCGCTGAGCTCGGCGCCATAGATCTTGGCACCGAGCTCGGCGCCATGGTTACTGGCGGCGAACTGGTGTTTTAACCCTGGCCCCAACCTTTCTGTCCGAGCCTTCTTCCTCTTCTTTCTCCTCCATCTCGGGTTTTTTCTCTCTCCACTTCGCCCTACCTCACGAATCGGCATATTGGACCTTGGAAACTTTGATTTGATCCGTAGATCTTCAAGAGCAAGGTATCCTCGCTCCCCTCCTAGTTTTTTTGTATCGATTCGGTATATATTAGTCGGATTTTTCAACCTAAGAATCGTCATTACTTATGGTTTTATTCTATCCCTCAATATTTGTATTATACAACCATAGGATGATGCCAAGGCGTGGAAAAAGCTAGCAAACTTAGGTATCCACAGCGCATGTAGTTATGTTATGGGTTCATTGTTGTGCATCAAATGGGAAACCCTAGGTTTAGGGTTTAATGTTAATTACTTTCGGTTCTTATAACGAAATTGGTTGTATTATAGTTATGGTTCTCATTGACATTAATTTGTGTTGTTTTGATTTTTGTTTGTTAAATTACATCCGTTTTGTTAGATGCAAGAAATGTATCGGGAGGAGTTTTGGCGAAAACGGGGTCGTCCTCGAGAATTATACCCCGATACGTCTAGCAAAGATGCCCCCGTCCCTCCTGACCTGCCTATCCCTAACTGTGATTGTGGTTTCCCGGCCCACGTGTTTCAATCGAAACATCCGGACACAGCGGCGCGGTGCTTCTACACATGCAGTTG